TTTATTTTTATAATTTTTAAATGGAAATTAAAAATTTTTTTTTTATTTTAAAACATCGTGATTTTTTAAGTAAATATTAATACCATTTTTTAAATTATTTTTAATATTAATTACATTCATTTATTCCTAGAAAATTCATATAAATAAACCGTATAAACTTATAGAAATATTATCGTATTTTAAACCAATTTGTACTTGTGCTGACATCTAGTGAGTGTTTTTAGAAACATTAAAAACATATAAAATTATTATATTACTAGGTTAAATTTTAAATTTAAATATGAAAAGTATTATTAATTATTCTCTTTAATTGTTAATTAAATATAAAGCAAATTTTTAAATTTACATGAATTTATCCAACATTATTAAACTATTTCTATAGGCTACATTTCAAAAATTTATTGTCTAATTGTAAATTTTATATGATTTTAAAAAATAATTAATGTATTGGCGCAGTAATGCATTATTTATTTATTAAATAATTACTTTTGAATTAATTAAAGGATACGTAATATACAGTACCAGAAATAAACTTGAAAAGGTACAATAAAATTAATAGAATTAAAATACAGAAAATTAATTATAAATAAACGAATATAATGTACAGTACAGTACTTACAAAATTATTGATTATTTTGTAAAGTAAATAATCATAGATAAGTAAATATATCGAAACAACACGAACCTGCGATTACAATAGTGCTAATTAGACACTCTGTTATTGGTGAACCGCATTCTTCATGAGCATTGTCAATGCGCGATTTGAAGAAGATAATGTGTGATTTCCCCTCTTTACTTTTCATATCCCCGGTTCTACGGAAACAGAAGTATTCCAACCAGGGGATGCTCCTGTTTCTGCAAGTGCCAAATGGATAAAACCACTGAACACTAATTGTGGGTTCATGCCTCTTCAACGAGTTGGCCACTGGAGTTTTCCATGTTTTATTCGCGTCAATAACACCTAAATAGGGTCCAGTTTCCTATAAAAACCCTCTCCCTCAGTAGATTGCCATATACGAATAAAACCTAAATATAAACCCAATCAGGGATAGATAGCTCCTTTCCCCCTCTCTTATCAAACTCGTGGATATCGAAAATTTAATAATTTTATAAAACTATAAATTTGATTTTAAACAAAGTTGGCTTATGCGTAATCATCATTTGTAGCGTGTAAATTATATATATATATTTTTTTCAACAGACACTTCACAGTGTACATGCGATCAACAGCCATTTTTGTTTTTGCCTTTCGATAGAGCTTTTTCCTTTGTTTTGTTTGCTTATCTACTGCTGTCAATACTGCTTAACAGTAATTAATTTAAGATATACATACCTATATCTCTTTTTCAAAATCTTAAATAGTTATTCATAATTATTAAAACTTTATATAATTATAGCAGGAGAATAATGTAATGATGTAAGCACGAACATCATCATCTATTGTAACATTGTTAAATATATTTTTTTGTACTTCTAGAAGTATAACTTACAAAAATATACTTATAAATATCTCAAAATAATGGTCAATTTTATGTTTTCTGGAAGAAATATAGAAATCAGATTTATTAAAACGTAATATATGAATTAATTCAATGTCAAATAGGCTAATTCGAGAAATCGAATGAAGGGAAAGAAAATTATGGGCACGTTATCTGATGAAGCGGCTTTAATATGACTAGATAAGTAAACTAATGATATATCCAGTTTTATTTGAAACCAACCATGTCATTGGCTTGCTTATCTAGCTGTATTAAAGCAGCTTTGCTAGGCAATGTTTCCTGTTTGTACTTCAACGTTAAGTGCTAAAAAAGAATGTGATGACATCGATTGGAGGGTACTTATCACAAAAAAAGGCTGAAAGTCACTACAGAAAAAGTTTATTTTGCCTCTTTCCGACCTATGAGTACTAAAAAGGCATTTTTCCAGGCCCATCGTTGTTTGGCCAAGTCCACAATGAAGCAGCCGGATAAGGGACGAAACCCCCGGAAAATTCGTCCGGATTCGATTTTGGGTCCCCAGAGCGGAAGGTTATCGCTCGATCATCCTGCCTCTGGATTGTTATTTTGTAGCCACGTTTGAAAAATAACCTCGCTTCTTCTAATAATGCGTATCATAGATAAAGTGAATGAAATATTACATAAAAAATTTTATTAATTAAATACATATGAAACACAAATAAAAACTTACAATTTTACATGTTATAAGCTTTAATTAATTTTTTAATATAATAAAGAAAATTTGTTTACAGTAGATTTACTGTATTTATTGTATTTAAACTCTACAAACTCCTTTGAATTAAAATTATTGCTGATCAAATTAGAATTCTCATCTATTGACAATTTCACTTTTTATGCATTCCAATTTCGAAAATAATTCGTCTACTACTAATATTGCGATCAGTGAACCGCGAAATGATACAGACACGGTAGAAACAATCGAGATTCTATTGTTCTTTTAAAATATACTGTGAAAAAACGAATTTACTTGTACCGATATGTTCGATTTCTTTTAATAGCATATAAATTCTATTTTATGATACAAATTACCGAGTCATGAGTTCAGGAGTCACCACTGAGTTTTCCTATCATAATCAACAAACGTGATGTATAACAATGTTATTTACTTTGAGATTCGTTTTATAACTATGAGAACATATGAAATTTACACTTTTACGAAAATTCATAGGGGGAGAGAAGATAAACTCTGAAAGACATAAACAAAGGCCTATTTGTTGATTTCAATATGCTGGTTTTCTGGTGGTTAAGTTCCTCCTTATTTACTTTTGATATATTATACATACTAATCAAATAACAACGGAGAGTTATAAATGCATTGTTTAAAATTGATTTAGTACTTCATTCTTCTTAAATTCATTATTATTAATTGCATATTTCTTTCGCGAATCTAATTAATTTTGTGTTTTTTAGTTGTGTTCAAGGTAAGGAAGAAACATTTGATTCTTATTTAACCGAAGTACGTACGAAAATTAATGATTGTGCATTCGGTAATCTTTAAGATAGTTTATTGCGTGATTAAATAGTGTGGGAGATAAATTCGGATGAAGTGAGGAAACTGTTTCTAGCTTAAAAAGAGTTAAGTGCCCTGCGTTTAATGTTAATTGAAAGTTTGCAATAAAAAAGGCGGTCGATGTAAAATTAAAGTGAAACAGAAAACGAAAACATATAACCAAGACGTATACGAAACTCGAGAAGTTTATAAAGACAATAGTGTTGATGAATAGCTTTCCCTTTATGTTGACGGAGTATCGGCAAGTGAACAGCGAGCTTGGTTTGCAACGGTTACTTTTGAAAACGGATTAGCCGTGAATTTTAAATTAAATACTGGTGCCGAAGATAATATTATCACAACAAAATTGGCAGAAAAGTTGCGGGTACCTGTTAATCAATCTAACACACGGAGATTGAAATATTTTAATAATAAATATATGCCAGTGATGAGCGAGGCACAGGTTAACTGTACTATCCAAAATAAATCGGTTAAACTCCGATTTATAAAAGTCAAAGGAAATTTTAGCTGTATTCTACGTTGTTCTACATGTGGAAAGCTGGATCTAGTGAAGCTAAATAAGGAATCGGCATTAAAACGTTCATATTTGAGTAGACAGACCAGGACCTAATTTAGACCTTCGCGGGCCCTAGACAAAATAATATTTACGGGTCCCTTTACGAATTTTGTATTACTACAAATATAAATAAAATTGTAATATTTAAAATTAAAGTATATTTATTTTTACATTTGAATATCTTACATTGTATTTTTGGGGCTACAATAAAATTATGCAGCAATAAACATTATATTTTTCTCAACAAACACTGCTTTATTCTGAACTTCACCGAACAGATATAATGCGCATATACAAACATTATCTAATTTTCAGTGATGTTAGATGTCGGAGCAGTAGGTAATGTCATTCTTAATTATTAACCCTTGAATATGGCGCTAATAATATAGTAATTCGCAATACTAATAAAACATTGGCACGTTTAGAACCTATTACGGGTCCCGGGCAAGTGCCTTGCCTGCCTTGTGCCAAATTAGGCCCTGAGGCAGACTATCCATTCTAAATAGTTTTGGTGCCGCCATGACAGTCCAAGGCAAAAAGGGCATATGCTGTGGATAGATTGTTGTGTGCTGACTTATGGTAGCAATTTCTAGCATTATTGCTATTTATTTAGACTCGAATGTGCGGGAATTGTCACAGGAGCATAACAGGGTCTAGTAGTTATATGTCGTTGGTCCACGTAGACACTAAAAGTTCGCATAGCCTTGATCCCCTCCTTTCTATCGTGTGAGGTGATGTACAATACTTTATGCGACTCCCTCCCTCTCCTTTAAACTACACACGTAATTAATGGACAGCCCCTAGAACAGCGGCCGGATGGCAGCCTACCGCTCTGGGGGACCCGGGTTCGAATCCGAACGGGTCGAAAAATCACCAGGAATTTTTCGGGGGTGGTCCTTTCGGATATGTCGGGCCCCATCACTCACCACTCGGCAGCTCCATTGTGGGCCTGGCCGAACCCATAATGGGCTTGCAAAAAGAGGCCCTCTTAGTGCCCACAGGGCAGAAAGAGTTTTAAAAAAAAGTTCCTAGAACAAATGTACTTAATCGTCAATTTAAAACCTTAAATAAAAATGTGAAAAATCAAAATATTTTCAGAAAAAAATTCATTTTTTTTTCAATTCAATATACTGTACAGTACATTCAATATACGTCCGCCATTTTCTTTTTATTCAATGAGGCGTGTCATTTGTGTTTGTGAGGCCCTGGGCTGGGATGAAAAAATATTATTTTCATCATATATCCAAACAAAAACGAATCTTGATCTTCGCGATTAATAAAAATTAAGAGAAATAAATTATAAAAGAAAAGGAAAAAAATTAAATTAAAACTACGCGGTAAAATGAGGAAAAAATTAATAAATTAAATATTTTATAAGACAAGACGAACAAAAAAGAAAAAAAATGTTAGTTAAGGTACAAGGTTCGTTCAACACGGAACGAAGGATGGTGTCAAATTGCATTAATAAACAATCGTCTTTCTCGGGAACCGATCTGCTGGTCCAATTTCACCTGGTAACAGAGAAAGACCAATCTGGGACCGAGAAAGGGTATTAATAACCAATAAAGTGACGATTTGCGAGGCGAAAAGATATATAAGCCCATGCCACAAGGACACACTGTTCTTTGCCGTGGAGTCCCTCGAGGCTATGACCCTCGCTGGGGTGCTTCCCCAAGGTTCCATCTTCGTCTTTGCTGATGTATCCTCCGAAAGTTATAGACCTGCGTTGTGAGAAACTTCGGAAATTCCGATCTGCATTCACCGGACATGGTTTCCTGTTCGAGAATGGACTTAGAATGCAACATCCGGTCAGCGATAGGAAACCATGCTGGTCGCCGGACTTTCCTCTTCTTTCGAAGACTACGCGCCGAAATATACAAGGACTTCAACCCTCGTGACGATAGTAAGTTACTTTATTTGTAAGTTAATTGTTTAATTAATGGGTTGTGTCGTTTGTAAATGAGGCGTCGATCTCTGGCTGAACCGCTCCCACATGTTGTTGATTGTTACCGCTCGGCAGTCCAGACGGCAATGATATAATATAATCGTTATTTCGTTTTGAAATAATCCCCCTTTTTGGTCGCCTCACATATTGTGTAAAGGCAACAAGCTAGAATATTCTAACTCGTTGTGTAAAAGTATGCAAAGGGAAGGAAGAGTTTTAACCCTTAACCGAGATGTCGCGAATTAAAATGACCCTACTTAGTTTTTTTTTTAACTTTTAATGACAGAATTAACTTTTCTTCATCATTAATTTTGAAAATGTCAGAACATTTTAATTGTTTGTAATCCAAAGGCGTACTGCACTTAGTTTTAGCAGAAATTACTTCAGAAAGTATTTTAGAGTACTTTTCTTGAGAAAAATAAAAACATTTGTTTTCTCGTTTACTCGCAATTATGGTTTCTCCAACGGGATCCCGGCTGTTTTTTAACCCGGGAAATCCTGCAAATTTCTTAAAAATTCACTTTTTTCTTATTTTGTGTTAAAGTTGAGGAAATTTTTCAAATAGAAAGTAATTATAATTAACCCATAAACTGTCAGAATACATTTGTATTTATTAATTTTAAGTCCGCTTATTTTCAGGCCGTCGAGGTTGGAGGGGTAGGGAGATAGAGGAGTGTGATGTGTTATATCTCATTGTGACGAAGATCAAAATGTAGTTTTTCATTGTAAATATTTTCACAAGTTGAAAGCCAAAATTTTCACATTCAAATTATAATTATAATAAAAACAAGAATATTACTTATATTTTGCAAAAGAAAAAAAATACTGTCCGTAAAAAATCAACGTACCGAGTTTGGTACTGATCAGACTGACATGAGCACACTATAAATAAACAAATACAGTGAAAACTGCTTAGGCGACCACCTGCATTCGACGGGCACCTGTCAATAGGGGCAAAAATTTCTGGCACGGAATAGTTTATCCATAGAGTATTCGTATAAGTTACCTGTATTAAACGACCACCTGTGTAACGCGAGCGCGGGCATCGACTTTTGGTCCGAAACAACATACAACACCTGTAATAAGCGACCACTTTCGCGAATGTATCTGGTCTAAACTATTGTTCGAATTTATCTCAACAACGTTTCCCCCTCCTAATATAATGAATTAATTTAAACTCTCGTTCGAACCCATCCCGGGCACTTCTCCCACCCTTGAAATTAGGTGCAGGTGTTAATAAATTAGTCTAACAACAAAGGTATAAAATATTGTACACGATACAATTAATCGGTTGATCTTATCGTTTGATAAAATTTATTTTTATTTATTTATTTATTTTGAAGCTCATATACAGTACACGTGCGATAAATAGTTTCTGTATCAACCTACCTTATTTCCACAATATTTTTAGAAAAATAATATCCAAGTAATTTTCGTAGGCAAAATATTCAAAAAACAATAAACGCATTAATGCAAAAATCAGTTTTACGGGCAACCTTCCTTTTTCGATTCCTCAATGACAATCGCGGAATGTAATGAAATCGTATAATGAGACATAATAATAAAATCGTTTTATTATTAACTAGCTGCAAGGACCCGCTTCGCTGGGTTTTTATTTGTATATAATATAGTTTTTTATATACTGAATGAAATCGTATAATGAGACATAATAATAAAATCGTTTTATTATTAACTAGCTGCAAGGACCCGCTTCGCTGGGTTTTTATTTGTATGTAATATAGTTTTTTATATACTGTAAGGTCTCGTTTTATGCGGTGGATACGTTCTACAGAAAAGCGCATATAAAAAATTCGCATAAAAAAAGACTTTACTTGCCTTGAAAAAGTAGGGATACGTTCCGTAATTTTCTAAAATCGCATAAAACCAAAACAACGAGTTAAAATTAACTTAAAATCGCATAAAAAAGTTCGCAGAAATTAAAAGAAATAGGCTGCTTAATAAATTACTTCGAATGTCTGAAAGAAATTCATATAAAAGCTTAAAATAAACTTGTATTCAAACTTAATTCAGTTTATTTTATTGAAAAGTAATA